CCCAACCACCCACCCCGTCAATAGATGTGGTTTCCCCTTCCCTTCTTCTGAAGGTGTCTTGAGACTGTGCAGCTTGCCCAAGGCCACCCAGGGTGGCTCTTTTCTCAGTAGGGATTCAAACTCCCACCCTCCAGCTGCTCAGCCAGGTATCTAAACCCCTGGGCCATCCCACCAGCTAGTAGGAGACATAGCAGAGATTTAAAAGTTTAGGCTCATTAGGGAGAGAGTAGGTAGGGAGAATTTTTTACACTTAAGAGACCAAAAGTTGTCAAACATGCAGCCCAGTCACCTTACCTGGATGATGTCTTTTCTCACATTGACGAGATACAGCCAGTCGCTAAGCCTTGGGTAGCTGTTCAACTCGACCGTCCTGTCATTTAGGGGGACACTCAACTTACACTGCAGCTGTATGCCAATGTAGCGGACAAGTTTCACCTGTCAAGGGGAGAATTAAAGCATTAAAATGGTGCCAGAAAGCAGTCATGAGTGGAAATGGCAAATCAAGAGAAAGCCACAGGCTATTTACTCACTGTCTTTTAAATTCACATTTAAAAGGGGGTGAAAGAGATGACTTGGCTAACAGTACTGAGCATTATTGCTTCCAAAAATTCCTTCTTTGCACTAAAATTCCCAGAATCTGCTAAGGAGTAACTTTTCCAAGCAGCTCGGCTCAGCCAATGTCACTCGTCGACAGGAATGGAAAGATACGTCTTAATTTTATTTAGCATTTCTTCAAGCCCCACCTGCAATAGTTTAGTTCAACATACAGAGCAGTGGTTCCCAGTCTTGGATCTTCTGATGTTCTTGCACTGCAATTCCCAGAAATCCTGGCCACCACAGCGAGTGGGGATGACTTCTGGGAGATTTAGTCCAAGAACATCTGGAGATTCAAGGTTGGGAAACACTGATCTAGAGCAGTGGTCCCCAACCACGGGCCTCCAGATGTTCTTGGACTTCATTTCCCAGAAATCCTAGCCAGCAGAGGTGGTGGTGAAGGCTTCTGGGAGTTGTAGTCCAATAACATCTGGAGGCCCAAGGTTGGGGACCACTGATCTAGAGGATGGTTTTGAGACTCATCAAGATACAGACGTTGATGAGATGCAGCCAATCACTAAGCCTAGCAGCCACACACAGTACCATCAAATAATGCTTCCAGCAACTGTACTTGAGCTTCTTCCTTACCATGCAGGTTTTAATTGTGCTCGCTCCCCCAAAAGGGCCAAACTTGGCCCAATGTACAAGAGAGGGAGCAGAGCCCAGAAGACAGATCCACGTTACCGAACAAAGCTTTTTGATAACGGGACGGGCACTCATTTCCATGAACTGTAAAAGCTGACTCAAACAACTCCTTTCTGGGGCAAGTGAGGTTTTATCACTTCCCACACAGTTACTTTCTCAGGTCTTAGAACAGCTTGTGGGAATTTTAAATAGGACTTTTTTTTTTCAAAGGCGGAGCAAGGCACTTGAAAAATAAAAGTTAAATCAGTAGTGGGGAGAACAATTTTAAAAGAGACAGGAGAGTGAAAGCAGCAATACAAAATGCCCCTTTGTCTGCTAGGTGGCTTCATAGAAGGAAAGGCTGCTCAGTGTTAAGAAAACCACAAGCTACCAGCACCTTTTTTGAATCAAACCAAAGGTCCATTTACTCTAGAAATCCAGGGACAAGATGAACATGCATGAGATGCTTTGATGTGGATTCCTGCACTGAGCAGGGGTTGGACTTGATGACCTTACAAGCCCCTTCCAACTCAATTATTCTATGATTCTTTGCCCAGTCTCAGGTTTCAACTGTTGATTCTGGGATTTTTATAATGATATTCTTTTTGTTGCCTGCCCACATCTGGTACTCAAAGACAGATTGCCTCAAAACGTGGAGGCTCCATTTTGCCACTGTGCGTATGCATGTCCATTTGTTTGTTTGTTTACTGGATTTCAATCCTGCCTTTCTCCCTAAAATGTGATTAGCATGGCTTGCAATAACATTACATAAAATATGTTTCTGTCTTTGAGACAGATAGAAACAGATAAGAGCAGGTACTGATAAAACAAGCAAAGGGTTATAATGTTAAAACACAAGCAAATTATAGCATTCAAAGACTATTTAGAAATATATCGAAAGCAAAAAAGTAAAAATAATAAAAAGGGAAGCAGCACAAAGAAATGAGGAGTAAAAACCTCATTCAGCTGCTAAAAACCTGCCTGATCAGGATCTGACAGATGAACAATAAGAAGTGGGCAGACTTTATAATGGGAGGGAGATCCACAGCCATCTAAAAATGCCTCTCTTGGGTCCACACTAAATGCATTTTGATGAGGGCACAGAGAAAAGGGCTTTTCACAGCCCAAGCAGGCTTGTATGGGAGATAACAGCCTTTTGGATACCCGAAAAGGAAGAATCACTCCAAAAAAAGGCCATAAGTCCACCATACGTTTGGTAGCGTGTAACAACAAAAAGAATACAATTTTAAAAAGCAAAATCAACCATCAAACAATTAAATACCAAATTACAAATACAACTTAAAAATACACAAGTGTATAGGACCAAACCGGTAACAGCTGCTAGTCACCTGCCCAAAGCAGATCTGAACATGCATTTACCTGCCAGCAGAGGGACAACATGGAGCCTAGACTCCCAAGGCAGACAATTCAACAGCTTTAGGATCACCTACCAAGAAAGCCTTGGCTATTAATGGACCTCTCCTCCTGGTCCTTCACAAACATGTTTAATACTGGAGAAAGGAACGTGCAGGCCTTCAAGTGGTGCTAGACTACAACTCCCATCATTCCTGGTTACAGACTATGTTGATGGGGCTGGTAGGTGTCGGGAGTCCATCAACCTCTGGAAGATGGCAGTTCCTCACCCCTTGCTCAATCCTTCTTTTCTCACAGCATCACAGAACTGTAAAGCTGTATGGCACCCTAAAGGTCATCTAGGCCACCCACACAGGAATTCATAGCCAATACATTCCTGTTAAAATGCTTTTTTTAATTCAAAAAGGGGCAGAGGAAAACATACCAGATAGCGGAGTGCTTGGACAAACTCTTAACACGGCAGTTACCCGCTTTAAAAGTCATCTAAGCTAGCAACTACCGCTGCATTATAAGGGAGCTAATTTGGCACTTTAATTAAGCACGGTTGGAAGAAATCCTCAGCGTGGGAGGCTCCAGTTCGATCGCAATGCAATAGCGTCAGCTATTCTAGCACCAGAGAATAAGGAGAAACATTCTCGGCACGGTGCATCATTTTATAAACTTTAGTTCCTGCCCCTGCCATAGTACTTTTTCTCTTTAAACTTGCAATCTTCAAACTGCCATCTGGCAGAAGCCTTTCCATCAATGCACAGGTAGAGACGGGGAGGGGGGGGGCAAGTAAAGCACATCACCGGCTCTGAGGAGGAGACAGTTTCCTCTTGCTTGGCAGGACTCATTCTGCTTGGCTGCAGCAGAGAGATGAAGGCAAGGGGAGTCCGTCTGCTCCATCAGTTCGGCTGAAAAAAAACCTGTTACTTGCAGCTTCTCTGTTCCTTAAACTCTTTCCCACTCCAGCTGACCACTGGAGTGAATCCTGGTCACTTAAGAATCAGGGCTTTGGTGCTTGCCTCTTTCGTGTTCTCTCTCCGTCGTGTTAAGTCTGTGCAAGCGTATCAGGCAAAACCCAAAGAAACAAAAAACACGTGTTAAGTCTGTGCAAGCGTATCAGGCAAAACCCAAAGAAACAAAAAAAAACTTTTTAATAGACAAAAACCTCGTGGCACCTTAAAGACAGTTATATGTTAATGTGAGCTTTCGTGGACAAGTCCACTTCTTCAGATGTACTTCTGTCTGTCTGAAGACAAAAAGGTATTTTGCACAATAAGCTAAAGAGCAGAGACTCAAGAGCCAATGAAGAATCTTTCAAATTAAACAAATACCTTTCCATCAGTAATTCTGGTTACCTATTTCTGCACACCGTATGCAATGTAAAGGCACCGGGAATACCTTTGAGAATTAAAAAATGGAAGAGGAAAAAATAATTTATTCTCCCACACATAAAACTGCACAAAAGCACAACACACGAGTTGGCCTGGCTTTTTTATTTTCTTTACCAATCCATTCACCAAATTAAAGTTGCACTTCCAAAATAAAAAATAAAATCCACAATGTATTTTATTTATGCTTGCTATTCAAAAACCTAGTAGGGAGGGTCATTCCAATTAATATAGACATAAATCAAAAGAAGCAGCAAAACTTGGGAACTGCAAATACACAGAGAGAGAGAGAGAGAGAGAGAGAGAGAGAGAGAGCAGCATTCCAACTACACATCATTAGAAAGGAATATTTCTCAAAGAAAATTGCCAGTGTCGCTGTCATCAAATCACGTAATTATTCTCCAAAAGGAACAAATAATTCTAAATTTGGAGAAATCCAACCTACAGTATCACTCCAGCACAAACGGCTATACCTCCAAAGCAACTACTTAGGGAATAACTTGTACTTAATTCCTTTTTGCAAAAAAAAGAGAGAGGGGCATAAGGTTTCTTTATGACTGCAATGGAATGAGGCTCAAGTTCCCTTTTATTGTGATGCAGCTGTCATGCGGGTGGGGGCGGTAAGTAGGGATGCAAGGCAGTAGTTGAACCTCCAAGTTCTACGCTTAGCCAAGTCCCTGTGAACAAGGCAGAGGCTCTCCGGCGCCAACTACCACAATACACAAACACTCACAAGTGATTCAATATACCAATTAACAAGGCTACCCACAAGCACCTCTTAACATCAGAAGTGGCCCTTGGAAATGTATTCCTTCCAACCTATGCTGCTGCGTTCCACACCTGATGCTGGCGAGCATCCAATGAGACTGGATTTTCCACTTTTCCGCTTTCGAGATCCAATGAACCTATTTTCAGTTGAAACCTGTTACTGTATCACTTTACCGCTTTTCTCAATCTGAGGTCAGAGACCTAGGGGGCAAAGCAGCCTGCATGGGACCAGAGGAGGAAGAAAACAGACATGGATGACTAGGTTTTTCTTTCAGGCTGCTGGTGCAGTGTGGGGCATGGATGCACACCTTGAATCAGAACTTTCAGATCATCCAAAACATGTACTGTATGGCATTATGTGTTACAGAGTTTTGAATTTCTGTCAAAATTCTCTTTTGCTACGCAGTAGAAGTACGGAGATTCAAAGGGGAGAATAGCTCCAGGTTCTCCAGAGTCCACTCTTTTCTTATTAACTGGTACTTAAAGTCTCAATGAATCACCCGGAGACATTTGTAGATTAAAGAATAAAAAAGTTTCTTTATTTCCAATTGTTTAAAATTAAAGCCTTGTGTATACTGCTTTCTTTACTGCACACATACTAGTAACAAACTAAACAGATCAACGTCAACAGACAACTTTCACCAACTGATAAAAGAGTGGGGTAGAAAACCCAGCAGAGGCGAGGCTCCCTCTGAATTT